AGTTTAGTTATTTATTTTAGTTATTATTAAATAACAAGTTTAGTTATTATCAAAGTGTAATTGACAATTCCTTCCCTTTGTATAAAATCTAGTGGAGGATCAGTAAAAACATTGATGCTCTACACTTTGTTAACAACTGTATATATTTGCTCTGCTTCTGCAAAATCCTTAAACCATCCAAATTAAAGGTAGCTTGATGCATGTGAACACCTGTATAAAGGAAAAAATCCATTAAAAGAGAATCATTATTTTTCAGGATGGTTTGGTTTTAATGACAAAAAGCAATTTTTGCTTCACTGCACAGAATGTCTAAGTTCTTGCCCTCTTAACCCAGAAACCATTGGACTTTGAAAGTAGCAATGGAAGAATATGTCAGCCTAAACAAACCTAGTGACACTGTTGATTCACTTCTTGCTTGATAAACTGAATAATCACAATTACATATGTGCATGAGAATAGAAAATACCTATACCTTTTAGTATATGCATGGTTAAGCAAAGTAGCCTTATAAATTTAAACTGTAGTTTAAATATACATGTGCATAGTAAGTAGGCAACATAATAAATTTTACAGTTCAAAGAATCAAGTGAATAAATAGTCACTACTGGAGAATTCTGCATTTACACTATTTTATAGCTTGAAACATGCGGTATTTTCCTCTAATTGTAAGAAATTTTTCCTGAATTTCATATAAATTTCATTAATGTGTATTCCTGGAAAACAAATAAACAATCAAACAAACAGAAAATGTGCCTTTAGTTGCAGGTCTTATTCTTTAAAAAAAAAATTAAAGTGTTTAATTTTAAATGTATCTAGATTTTTGCTGTTATATTTGCAAACATGTTTTCAGTTCCCTTATGTTTTCTGAACCTGTGGAAGTTCACTCTAACTTTTTTCCTCAAAAAATATAAAATGATATTAATATGTTTATGAATTTTAAACCTACTCAATGTAATCAAACCACTGTATATGTTTTGTTCACAACATTTCCTCTGCTCATCTGGTAAATGTCAGAGCAAATTGCAGAGAAAGCTGGTAGATGGATCCATATATCCAACCTATGGAATTTCTAACAGCAGAAATTTCATGGATTGGTGAAGATTGACAAGTGCCTCTCTATTATTTCTGCCAAGCAATCAGAGAAACATAAGAAAGCATCCACAGTGCTGTTCTGCTATATCAACTCCTAGATAATACCAGGGGTGTGTGGGGAGCCTCCTTGTCGTGCCTCTAACGAATGCAGCAAGCATTGGGGAAAATTAACTACTGTAACTTTCCTTTCTGTTTTACCTAAAATTCACATTTTTCACATCTATTGGACTTGCTTCTAATTTTCCAGGTATCTTCTTGCAGTCAATGCAGCTCTGTAGCTCCAGAGTATATGCCTACCTGCAGATGAGGACCAAAATCCCAGGACCTATGATAAAGTGACACTATGAGAAGCATTTGAGTATGGCCTGTATGTAGAAGATAGTAACAGCACCAGATTAATTGGTGTTAAATTTTAATTTGGCTGGTGCTAAACTGGCTAGAAGACACACAAGGACATGCATAAAGGAATTATAAAGAATGCAGTTTGACATCAGCTTGGAAAATTTTTTCAACTCTGAGATCAAAGTGGAAGAGACCCATGAGAAAAAGCCAGTCTGAAGTGTGGGCTGTCAGTGTGGTTCAGGAAAGCATCAAGATCATGCATGATTAGTTTGTTGAAATCCTTTGAAATTATTGCCACCACGCTAGACAAGGTGCTAGCATACAGTGGGAGCTCTCATTCAGTGCTTCTCAGTAACAGCCCTGCAACCTCTTCAGGGGAGTCTTTCTAAACAAGGTATTTGTTTTGAAATTGGAGACAGATATATAAACAAGGACAGAGGAGAAGTTGAACATTAGGAAAAAAATGCTTGTAGCTTTTGTGTTAGGAGCTCACACTGCGTTTTGTCCTGAGATTTACCAGACATTTTTGCTGCCCATGTTCTGAACTGGCTGCTCCCTGAGTGGACAATGAGCTGCCTGGCACCACACACCACCTCAGAGCACAAAAGACACCAAAGTGCTGCTGGCTCTTTTACCATCTGAAGGGTGACTTACTGCAGATTCACCTCTGCATACTGATGATAAATTGTTTTAGAGGGGACACATCTCTTGCACTGCATATGAAGGGCAGGGTGAAGGTAATGTGAGCTTTTGGGTAGCCTTTATAAGAAGACAGCCAGTTCCAGATGGTGCCAGCCCACCCATGGCAGAGCACAGCTGAACCCCTCTGCCTAGTGGGAGGTGCATCTGGATCAACATATTTAAGAAAGAATGGTAAAACATTGAGAGAAAAGGATCAGTGACATAAGATCACATGAAGTTCTTCATGTCAGAGCTGGCCATTCCTACAGAGAGGATGTAAACCATGGAGAACTTGTACCAGAGAGGAGGAAACATGCATTAAGGAAGGGCCAGAAGCAAAGCAAGGGAAAAGGAACATCAGGACACAGTTCTATACCCTGACCTCAAACCCCTGCCCCACGTGTCACCTCACCAAAGAAAGCATAATCTGAGGTAACAACCAGGTGAGGAGAGGCCTGAAGGGAAGGTGAGCTGGCGAAAGGGGGGAGGAAAGATGTATTCCTTAAGGGCTAAATGTTTGTCTTCTTCTCTAAATCTGTAATTAAATGCTTTAAATTGAATTCCCCAGAGCTGAGTCTGCTTTGCTTGTGACAGTAATTGATGCATGATTTCCTTGCTTTTATTTTGCCCCATGGGTTTTCTCGCTCTTCCTGTTCTTCTCTGTCCTGCTTGTGGTGGAGCACAGCAGCCCCACTGACTGCCAGACAGGGAAACACACTTGTCACTCAGCCTCAGATAACTAGAATTTTTGTTATCTAGTCACCTAGGCTGCTTCCATAAGAACAGCTACTCGTGGAGAGAGTCTCCTTTAAGACAATGATCAGGGAAATGTCTACACATTTTAAGAAGGTTCTAATTTATAGTCCTTTCCTTTCCAAGGCAGTGGCTTGATACAATATGATTTGTGAAAGCATAGGTTTAGTAATGTGCTGCCCAATAACACAAACTATCATCTTGTAGCAGGGAGACCAGTATTTCAAAATTGTATATATTTATCTTAATATTTAATAAATCAAGCTTAGCCCTGAAATGTGTCCAAGCCTCTGGCAGTCTGGAGTAAGCAGAAAAACAAACCTAGAAGTGCATGGTAAAATTAAAGGTATTGGTAAAATCTTACCAAACTATACATGGATTTGTAGATTATCCTCTTCAATGGGAATTTTAGATACCTGCATACTTTATACATGAGGACACAAAAAAGTATGTATGTCCTTTCCTGTGGAAATTGAGGCATTGGGGGTAGTCTTAAGAAACAGAACTCTTAAATTCTGTATTTTGTTGTCAGTATCTTCAAGTAAGACATTGTTTAAATTTGCATTATATTTGATATAATCAGTGGACTCACTAGAGAAAATCAGCTGAACAATAAACACATATCTACTGAGGGTGAAGTGAACAGTTTTCCATACTCTTTATTGTATTGAGACCAGATATTCATTGATTATTAAGGGGCATTAAGCTTGATTCAAGTGTCCAAACCTAGGCAGCACATGCCATTTAAGCTATCCTGAGATGTTCACTTCTCCACAAAGGTGGTAGACAGTATTTTTGGGACTCACACCCATGCCTATGCTCTTTAAGAGTAGCAACAAAACACCAGCAGTGACAGGAAGCTATTATATTATACCAAATTTCAGTAGATACATATGTTTGGGGGACTCTTAACTGAACTCTTGACTGACATGGAAAGAAAGATTTGTAATTCTTTTGATCCTATGTTACACATTAAATCAAATAGATCTGGGGGAAAAGGCTGCATAATCATGCAATCTGTAGACATGTGATAGGCCAGCTGAGTGATTTGGGTGGTAAATTTCCAATTGAGTCTGTCCTGGCATATCTGTGTTAGATAATATATAATATATAATAAATATATTCAGAAATATGTAGTCATTTGCTTTCAAAAATTTGTCTGGTATCTTTTAGATGATTTAAGAATTTATTTATTGTTCAGCTATTTTTAATTTAACTGTTATTTTAACTTTGAATATGTGCAGTGAAAAGTAAGAAGCAGGTATCTAGCATATTAAGCAAAGGCTGAAAATGTTTGTACTGCATTTTGAGGGAGAGCTGAAAGGGAGATAACAACTGAGTATTCCATCAATATTTGAAAAGCTATTGTGCTGTGCATACAGTTTCCAAGATAGCAATGAGATAAATATGCAAGAAAAGCTGTTTGCACTTGTGATATGAAGCAGTGTTACTATAGATCCCAACCTGAGAACATTTGAAGAGCAGCCCCAGGGAAATGCTGCAGGCAGCTAGCTGATGCAAGACTGTCAAAATTCAAGGACTTTCAGGACATTTTCTTAAACAAAAAAGAGACTCAAAATTGCAAATTTGCTTCTTTGAAGCACTCTTGTTTCATCTGTGGTGATTACCAGGATGTTTTGCTTCGCCTAAAGATTTCTGTGAACTTGAAATAGCACAGACTAAACTCTTCCTCTCCTGTTTAGACTGGAAGTTCTTAGATGTCCTTACAGTAAACAGACAACTATTTGAAAGGAGATGAAGAAAATAAATTCTTTTTCATATTTTAGTTTTAAAGGCTATGATGATTCAAAATTTAAAATAATTACTACTTTTTCTGGTGGTAATTTGTCCACAAAGAATGAAAGAAAATGCATTGGAATATTTTCAACTATACTTTTGAGTCACTGTAAGTAGGTCTTTTAAAACAGCTTAGATTGCTCTCTGTGCAACAAGGAAAACAAAATTCAGAGCACAGACAAGTGTGAATCTGGGTCATGTTTGTTCAGCTATGCCTCTCATGTCTGAATTCAAAACCTTATTTCCATACTGCATATAAAGAAGGTATTTGTTATCTTGAGACTGTTTTTCACTTAGTCTTTAACACGGACTGAATGACCAGATTCATTCTCACTACTAAAATCACATCACATGATTTACACTAGCAGGCTCTTGCTGTAAAGTTATAGCAGGGAGCTAACTGCAAAGACTTTGCTGATGCAAAGACACACCATCAAAGATTAAACTATGCAGCTCAAGAAATGCAGAATCCCTGTTTGCATAGTATTTTTGTCCTTAGAATAATTTTCTTTTGGATGGGCTGTGTAGGATATCTGGTAAGTCTCTCCACCTCCTCTGCTTGTTAGAATCTTTTTCCTTCTTTATCTCTCCTTGTCAACTGTCAGAACATGAGCTCTTAGTTGATTTTTTTCCCTTGTCTTACCTGCTAATAGGCATTTTTCTGCCTTACCTCAATAGCAGTCATCCTTACCAAAGAAACGATGGAAAAAATATTTCCTAGTTTCATACACTTATAACTGTTCACTTGCAGTAGCAGGCAGATCAATGGAAACAAGACAGAAGACCTCAGCTCATCTCAGTAAATATTTCTTTTGAAAATATTTGTTATCTTAGTTGAGGAAGTTTTTCTATTTCTTTTCACTATTTTACTTTCTTAAGGATTTCTGACTCTTTTCTTTATACTTTGATTGAACTGACATTTAAAAAGTCCTATTTTTAAACATAGTCATTTACAAAAAGAGATGCAAAAATTTATGCTCTTTAATGACAGTTTGTTGTCTTTGAACAAGTTTATTAAATGCATTCTAAATCAGAATTCAGACAAGAAACATTTTCCTGTTATTATATGAGCAATCTTGTATTAATCCATATTTTACCACTTTTAAGCATATGAACTTACCCAGACATAAAATATTCAATATTCTGATAAACTGGTACTTGCTGTAAAAAATATAGTGGATCTAACATCTTGTTCTAGATTTTAAGAAATGTTTTTTTTGTGTATTCAACTTTGCATATACAAATAATTGAGCTGAATTTCTCCATGCATAATTCATTACAGGTGTAAATACTCCTTGGGTGATTAGATAAGAGCTAATATTTGTGCTCACAATCACTTTAGGCACATGAATTCAGGTCAGTGATTTGTGAGCACAAAATTACTCAAACTGCGAAGGCAGGTAGACACATGTAAATCAGACCTTGATTTTGCTGTCTGATAGAGTAGATTTGTTCCTGCAAGATGCAGAAAGTCTGGAAGAAATTTTTAGAATTCACTATTTGTCTTTTGATCATAAGAACAGAGTGATCAGCACCTTACAAAAATCCCCAGTGACATCCCCAAAACACCCTTTATGAGTGAAGAGACTCACTTTTAGGCTACAATTCAGAAAGCATATGTTTAACTTAAAGGGCAAGTGAGGAGTCAATGGATGTGTTTATGTGCTTTAACTACATTTTTAAGTAATTTGGTAAATAATGAAAATTTTTAAGAGGTTTGTAAAGGGGGAGCAAGGAATTAACATCAAAAAGGCACAGGACATTCAGGAGAAGTAAAAGAAATTAACCATCACACACTTGCTAGAGAGCATTAAAGCTTTGCATGGATGCTTTAATTCCAATGTAAAGTGGTATTGGGTAACTGTGTCTTAATCCCCCTTAAGCTAGTGAAGAAAGGTCATTTTACTTCTGCTTGAAGGAAGTCACAGAAGGTTTTAATATGCTTTAATTTTGCTTTATCTTTTCTGAGTAAAAGCACTAAGATATATTTAGGATGAAATGGCTATTTGTGAGTAAATGGCAGCCCATTGACTGCAAAATATTTCTCATGAAACCTCTCAGGCTCTGTCTGACAGGAGGCTCAGCTGAACACACCAGCCCTATCACGCAGAGGTGCTGAACCGAGGGCTGAAGGTTCCAGGATTTGCACTTCAAACTGAAGATCAGCTCCCAAGCTCTGTAAAAATGAGAAGCAGAAACCCTGGCTGAAGTCAGCATTGTCAGAGTTTTATAAATCCTGCTGCAGAGCTCCAGCTGGGCTACACTCCAAGAGCATTTATTTGGATAATAACCAAAATAAAATAAAAATTAAACTCTCCCTGCAACCCGTTCTATTCCTCACTGTTCTTGCAGACTTATTTTAAAAGACCTTGAGACCTAAAGAAGCGCTGTTTGCTCAGAAAAGTAAAAGTTGGAGACTGGTAGCAATAAAATAGTTTTTGAATTTGCTTGCTTCTTTTCTGGACTGATTTCTATATATCTCTGTCACATCTATAATAGTCAATTATATATAATTATATATGCATAAACATATATAATAATCCATTGAATATATACATTAATTGTATCTATAATTAAAGGAAAATTAATACAAGGACTGCTAACAGGAGAAATTTTAAGTGTGATCAGCATAGCATTAATTTCTGTTCATCAACTTGCCACAGAATATGAAAAGAAAATTCAGTAATGAATAATAACCTTCATTATGCACAGTATACTATAAAACCAAACTGGGATAAAATGTGTGGATCAAGATCTTAATTAAAATTAATTTAAAATATTGTATATGATTATTTTGGAAGGATGTTTAATTAGAAGACAGTGGTAATGTCCCTCATAGTAATGCTGTTTTCTCACACATGAACCCAGTATTTTCTAGAGAATGTAAATGAAGGTTCTACCAATTGGGAGAGGACTGACATCTGTTCTGACCCTACACAGATGTCAGGCACTCAGTGTGCTTCTTTGAACCAGAGCAGACTTTGCAGCCCTGTAAAATTCTTTTTCCTCTTAACAGGAACCTGGTCAGAGATGCCCAATGTTAGTATGTGATTGGGCAATACAATTGGCTTTACATTCATGCTATTAGGCTGGATTCTTCCTAATTAGTGAGCATTGAACAGTTTGTCTGGTACTACTAGCTATTTTTAATTTTATTTTTTTATGCTGGTGTTATAAGTCTGAGAAAAGAAGGAATCTGCTATTCATGCAAACAAAAAAATAAAACTCATTTTACCAGATTGCACAGATCTCCATTCTGATCTTCGGTGATTATGAAAAATATTGACAGGCCTTCTAGGAGGCAGAGAAACAAGAAAAGCCTGAACCTGAGGTTTTACTGACACCTGTCTCTCCCTGATTAACCTCAGAAAATCTGGGCTTCTGTCCAAAGATGAAGCCACTACATAATCTTTTATCTTTAAAATATATAACAGAAGGAAGCTAAACCCTTCATTTTTAATACAGTCCAGCTAGAAAATCTCAGTGTTACAATTTTATGTCCTACATACTAAACTACATTTTTTCTTAAATGAGATCTGTGGAGATCTCAGGATCTGGTTCTAATTAATCTTTTCCATCTACTTATATATCATGACCAGCATCAAGGAAAGCTTTAGCAATGAAAATGGAGCCATTTTCTTTCTAAAACAGCTATTTGTGAAGTGGCTTTTAATTGTCTCTAAAAACTATATTTGAAGATGTCCTGTCTTGGGAGCACTGATGATTACAGATGAGATATCCTAGCTCAAAGAAATTAACTGGACTGCTTTACTAAATTTCAATTATACTTTGTAAACTGCATAAAAATGGAAGGAAACTGTGATTTTTGTATAGCTCTATAAGGCAAAGAGTTCCTATAAGTTCTGTATGAGTGCCCTGACTTCATCAAGATGAAGATTAAAATGTAATCTCATCTCAAAGTATCCTTTTAGGGCATTCTTACACAGCTTGAGATGAACAAAACAAATTTGAATTACTTAGTTCAGCTGCTTAGAAGCTCACCACAACAGAGGAAAATTCTCAGCTGGTGCATATAGGGAATGCCACACTCAAGCCACACAAAAATTCAGACAGAGGAAGGTCAAAAGAAAGAAAACTGTAGTCAACACTTTGTGGTAACCCTGGTACAGTTAGCATACACTGCTTTCAAAAATTAATTAGGGAAGTCCTGGAACTTTTGGGTGTAATTCCTCTGGAATGCAGTGGAGAGATCATGTGCATGAAGGAGGAAAACTTCCCTCAAACCACAAAATCATACAATGTGATTAATGAAATATATGTAAGTTACAAAAATTAATTTGATGGGTCTTAATAATGAAATAGACGATGAGGAACCCATGATTACTGCTGAGGTATTTTAATGGTCTTTTGTCATTCTGAACTTTATTACAGTTCATTGTAATAATTTAACCTATATATTATTACTACCCATAGCAGAGAAATGTAATATAGTGATTCATTTATAAGGACTATAGTAAAGCAGGTGAAAAAAAAATCCATTCCTAACAGACACTGACAGATAATACAAACTACAAAGAAAAAGTGCTTGGTCCAAACCATCATCATTGAAGCATATACTTTTTTTATTACATTACAGTATTTATTGTATGCCTATGAAAATCTTCTTAAAGGAAAACCCAACGAGATGAATATATTTTCCCTTGAAAATATGTTTTCCCTTCAGAGTTTCACTTCTGTCATATCTGGATTTTCCAATGACAAAATATTGTTGGTTGATACCAAAACATGAATTTCAACTTAGTGTAATTTCCTATGCACCTTAGATATATCCAGAGTTTTTGGCTGTGTGTGTAATGGGAAGAGAGTTCAGGAGTTGGAAGGATCTTTTAATCTTTTAGTAGTGTTTCAGAATGCTTGAACTACCATATATTTAACTTTTCAGGCAACTGGCAAATATTTTTTTTGCCTTCAGAATGGCAAAGGCTTGACTTTTGAAGCTGCTGACCTGACACTTTACAAGTATGAGTTCCTCTATTTGCTTTTTTTTCCTGTGAGCTGCCTGAATAATTTGGAACCAGTCACTTCAGGTTTTTGTGTCTTGGTCTCCCTACTTTTTTTTTTAATGGATTTGATATTGACCTAGTTTTATATAAAGTCCTATTTCTTTTTGCTGTATTCAGCAACTGAATTTTCTTCTACTACCAAAGCAGTAAGAAAATCTGTGGGTGAAGTTAGACCCTATTTTTCCTTAGTTGTGTTCCCTTCTGGTGAATTCAGTGGTAAAGCACCAACTGACAAATAAGTGCAGAACATTTTAGCCAGCATGTGGTGTGTCAGATGCTGAAATGTGATGCTATGTGGCAGTATTTTATCACTAAACAGCATTGTCACACAGCATACACAGATGCCTGAATTAAAGTGGGCCCAGAGAGCCTAAGCTAACAAGAGCAAGATATTTAACTTGATTTGTACAGCTCATAAGAAAGGCAAATAATTTTAATCATGAATAATTCTGTTGTCTCTTTTAGGCAAAACGTTGCATTTTCATTTGTTTGTTCAACTTTGATTTTATTAAAGACACTGAAAATTTTATCACAACCTTGATTGATTTTTAATTAATCTTAAAATCACTTATAAGTTAGAAATTAAAGTCTTGTTCCAACAGCTCTCACTTTTATGACTAACTCATACCTGTAAAAGGAAGCCTATTAATGTCCATGTTATTATTCCATGTATGCAATCTCCTGGTGACATTCTTAAAGTGTCTAAAACTAGTGAAAATTAATACACACTGTTTTCTGTCAAGGTTAGATATCTCAATAGAAGGTCCTTTAGGGTTTGACCACTTTGTTTTAATGTTTAAATAAATTTCAAAATCTGTCCCTGTCTGCAGCAGTAAGACTCGGAACAGTAGAATTTGGTATCACAGCCCTGCTATTTATTTTCTGAGTCTCCCATAAAAATGTGATCCTTTTGTTTACATAGCTGTTTTCAGAAACAAAGATGTTATTTTATTTGTACATATAGATTGGTCTTGGAATTCAGTCTGATGACTCTTTGCAAAAGTCTGGAGAATGCTCCTGCCTGCACTTTGTTCTGTAAGAATGTCAGAGTGTGAATTAAATTTTCCAATTTTTTAATAGCTGTAAAAGGCTGAATGGATGCAGACTTTGTACTGGTTTTATGACTAATGTGGGAAACTAGCCAAAGAGAGTTCTGAAAGGTTAGAATGACTTTGATAGTGCTGGTGCCTAATCATTGCATAGAATATTAATGTGACAGACAGGTGCTTTGTAAAGTCCTATTATAAATGAGGTAGTGACTTACCAGAAGGAAAAGATACTTCAGAGTCTGAGTCTAAATAATTTCACTGTATATAATTCCTTGCCATTGGTTTCCAAAGGAAATTAATATTTTTCGTTGTAATATTTTGAATGTAGTAACTTTATAGCAATTTTATAATATATGTTACCAGTGTACATAAACACTAGACTGTGATTGAACTAATTTTGATTTAATTTGACGTGTCAGGCGCCTTGACTCAACATGTGTTACTCCATAATCATTTAACAAGTGTCAGTTGAATCCAAAAGCCAATTTTATACCTGCACTAAAACCTTGAGTATGAAATAGAACTCAGACACTGACACAATTATTTCATTCTGGTTTAAGTGAATAAATTAAAACTGACAAAGAGAAAAGAAAATTAACAAACTTTGAAAGGGAAGCATGTACAGTCTAATGGATTAATCTCTAAATTCACCTGACACCTTTTTGTTTCTCTAATAATTGTGAAAAAAAAGAGCTAATGAAGTACAATGAATACAGAAGATTTCCACAAGTCTCAAGCACAATGGCATATTTAAGAATCTACCAGTTTTCCCAATATTAGCTTATTTACTCATTTGAAAGGTACAGTTTAACCACAAGTATTTACTTCACATGGAATACAGTCTACAAAGACTCATACCAGTCACAGGTTTTTAAAGGAATTATGAGGAATTTGAGGAATTATGGACCTTATTAAATAAAATCACGGATCTTTATCACAAGCTATAGGTTTCATTCGCTAATGTGAGAAAAAGCAATTTCTTTAGATATCATTGAAGCTGAGTTGAGAATTGTTAGACTTATAAAACAATAGGTATGGTGTGGCTGTAGATAGAATGAATTTCACTATTTGCATAAACATTCTTATCAATAAAATTGTGTGGCTTACAATTTCACTGTACCTCCCTGCTTTTATGGGGCAGTTTCCAACTTCAGATCAAATTCATGTCTCAGAGGTCACATTTTGCTCTTTCATGTTTGTCTCACTCCCCTAATTTACAGAAGGTATTCCATACTCTAGTAAAACACTACCTATTAATTTTGGTATTTTGCTCCTCTGTCTTTTATCTCAATCTTTTACTTTAATCATACTCTAGTGGTTCCTGCTTTAGAGACAATTACCTTTACTTCAGAATCCTTTACATAAAGATCTACC